CGGATCTGGCCAATATATTATCCTGTTATCCTAACTAACGCTAGATCATATGTTCTAAGTATACGATCACCTTGTAAGACCAATGTAATATCCTGATCCAAGGTGTCCGTAATACACTAAATGTGGATCAAATAAAGAAACTAACCACTTGTGCCCAATGATGTAAATTCGATTCTCTGTTATTCCTAAGTCCTAGGTCATAGCCTGTCTTACCTCTACAGCGCAGGATCCACCCAAGTGTTTCCAGGAGAGCAGCTATCCTTCAGGATCGGCGCGTAATCATCTAATGTCGATACTGCAATGTCGGATCCGCACCTGTTCTTCTTGATCGGCATCAATATTTCGCGATCTGTAGTCTCCTCAGTCCTCTTAACCCGAATATACGCAGGATCCGGACCGATCTTCATACTTCACTGAAGATCCGGTTCCGCGTACCCATCAATTTGTTGGTACCCATTTACGTTCCCAACTCGCGGATCCGAGCTCCGTTATGCAGGATCTGCAGTTGCACCTTCACGCCCATATCACTCGTATTCATATTTCTACGAATCCATGCTCGTCCGGGATCGTCAGCACCCCTGAAAGATCCGGATCCACTGGATCCGGATATACGGTCATTGAACCTGATAATTCCATTGTTCTCTTTCGTCAATCAATCAATCTTATTCACGTGGAATTTCCCATCCACTTCACCACAATCGCTTCCTGTCAGCCATTGTTGCTGGACAACAGTATCACGACCAACATCTCACTTCGGATCTTTTCCACTCATGCACTACATGCCTCAATCCGACCAAAAGGCTCCCTCTGTATGACACGCGACGATCCGTCCCAATGGCTTAACGCCGAAGCCGTCACACTGGAGGATCTCCAACCGATCGTCGTCGAGCTCTTCCGGCGCACTGGAGATCTCCTGTCTCGCTTGGCGGCAGACACTGCAATGGATGCCGACGAGGATCTCGTTACTGCAGAGAACGGTCGAGCGTTGCAAGATTGTTTTCATGAACAGGACGCGGTGATCGCCCTTCATGCAGCGGGATATCCAACGGATCCGCCAAGACCGTAACTTCGCGACGGATCTTCTTGATCAAAGCGACCGCGAACTACCGGAGGATCCGAGCAATCGGATCCATCATCTCGAGTCACAGGTCGCGGATCTTATGGTCCAAGTTGCTCCGCGCGTCAAATAGCGCGATGTCCTGATACGCGAGCGCAATGGTCTCCTCCAGAATTGCGAAGAACCCACATCTCGGCTAGATGGTTTGGGCGCTGATCTCCGGCAAGCCAACCAGAACGAACATCAGCGATGCGACATTGCGCGCACCGAAGCGGAGCACCATTTCCATACTACTGAAGCGGCATTGAAGATCTCCCACTCTAAAGCCGATCAACTCGACGCTGTCCTGGCCTCGTACAACGATGGTACCCTGAGGGCGAGACTAGCACAGACAATCGCAGAAGGCGATTCGGATCTTGCCAAGATACTCTTGCCAGTCTAGACCAAAGATTACAGGGGCTATCCGCAGATCAGGATCAGGAGAGATTCTTGCATGTATCCGTCAAGGAGAAGCTCGCCCAGATCACTGCAGAGCGCGATCTCCTTCGAAAAGACAATACGAGTTTAGGTACGCCCCATACTCGTTGCTCTCCTAGTCACCTTCTCACGCTTTGCCTATTCATCCAGGTCCCGACGCGGTCATTGCTCGAGAAGCTTACGGTCAGTGAGAGCCCACGATCACTGCAGGTACAGCGGAGATCCAGGCACTCTCCACCGATATCGATATTCTCACGGTCGAGCAGGTCCCGACGCGGTCATTGCTCGAGAAGCTTACGGTCAGTGAGAGCCCGCGATCACTGCAGGTACAGCGGAGATCTAGGCACTCTCCACCGATATCGACATTCTCACGGTCGAGCGGCCGGACTGACGTCGCGAGCTTCATCGTACCTTGCATAAGCTTGGCCAGATTGCAGATGTTATGGAGTCTTCGCCACCCACCACCTCCTTAAGTCTCGGATCCGATTTGGATGAAGGCCCCTTCTAGTCAAGGCGACGGCGGCATGCCTCCTCAGGATCCTGACCCCAAGTCTCACCAGATAGCTCGGAGCTACCTAAGGATTGTCAGAATCCACCCGTTGACGGTTATGATTCCTCCCCCAAGAAGGGTGCCACGCGTTCACGTAGTTCGTCATCGTCTCCCAGTCCCAGTCGTCTCTCTAAACGTAAATGTCGGGCCATAGCTGCTGAAGGTGACAACGATCTGGAAGAAGAAGAACCCGCCGACCCCGACATGGGTGGCGAATCTCCACAAGATGATCCTCCCGACAACGATCATGACGATGCTGATTTCCACAACAAAGATCGAGGCAAGGAGAGCCCAGATTCTGGGGACTCGTCTTCATCCTTCGATCCTCTGTGTGCAGCCCATGATCTCGGTGGATCAGGAAACTCAAGTGACGATACTACACCTCCACAACGTAAACCCGACCAATCTACACCCAATCCCCATGGTGGCGATCTCCAACCGCAGTTCTAAAATCTCATTTGTGGAAGCAAGGAGTCCAAGGATCACTCTTCGGATGACGACGACGCTCACGGCGACACGACAGATCCAGACACTTCCGCGAACTCTAATAATCACGAAGCCGAGGGGGTTGCTGACTACACGTTTGTGGAGGACACCTTGCGAGTCATTGCTCAATCAAGATCGTCACAGCGCAGGCGTGATCACGCCTTTCCTCGTCGCACTACTTTCGGGGTACAGGTTATCCCGGTCGTGATCCAGGTGGCAACGACCCCGAATATCCCACTGCGATTCATCCCGCTAACCATCCCCCGATTTCGAATTTAGCCATGCTTCCATGTCAAACTTTTCCTGAGGGGCAGTGTATACCACATCGCATCTAGATCCACATTTTCTCTGCTGCCGACATTGATCCCTAGCTATATCGGTCAGCAGACTCTGACTACAATGACCGTAGATCTTCTAGTCGCGGCTCTCCCCATTCGGCCAGAATGGATATTCCCGCATCGCGCGTTCCAATCTCGGGCTCCCTCGGATGCAGACTATTGGGTTCGCCTGATCACAGCGGATAGCATAGATGCCCTAAATCGAGAATCGCCGTGAGACGTTCTTGGCGGGGGTAACATGCCGGATCTGATTGGCATTGAAGTTGGAGTTGGCGGTCGCCTTGGTGTCTTTCTAGAGGAGTATTCGCAACTGGAGATGCGAGATATCATCGCCTACTGGGAGTCTACCCATCAGCTCCCGATCACGAAGAGGATGTGCAAGAATTCTCCACCCACTCTGCAATGCGGGCAACAACCGAAGATCTCATGCCGGTGGCCGTTGGCGCAGGATCCTGTCGATCTTTGTGACGACGCTGCAAGATGGCTGGTACCATTTAAACCTCCTACTTGATCCTTTCTTCCTCCATTTTACGAAGAGATCCGATGATGTAACTTGGTACCCCGGGATCGAGACTTGCCGTGTCGGACGTGCTGACCCTTCGACTCTGGTCGAAGCTTTGGTGAATTGCGAAGCGGCGGGTCCCATGCGTAACCGATTTCGTGTGACACTAGCAGATCACCCTGCCCGTCGGATCCCTCGACTAATGGAGCAATTCTTTGACATGGAGATCGCTCAAGTCCTGACGCCTCTGATAGTCCAGATGGACCTACCGATCCTGATACGTCCTCGGGTCAGTAACTTCTTTATCAATATATGTTCTGCTTGTTTTGGCCTGTTTGACCTTCCCACATTCCATCTTGTAAAGCCCTCTCCACCCCAGATCTGTTCTCGACTACCTCGGATCTTGACTTCTGTTGTTCTCCGCACATCGCAATATGTCTATATATACACACACCTTCCTCCGATCCGCAGACTCCCTCCAGATCCTTCATCCTAGCTGTCTCGCACCAGTGACCAGCCCACCGATGTGGATATTGCCATTAGGCCCCTTCGTGAGATTGCATCACGCCAAACCGATTCTAATTAGCGCTATCCCGCAAGAACTCATGGAGTATCGCTCTATAGTTAAGATCTGCCTCATCGATCCAGGTCGGATCCTCGTACCCAAGCCAATGTATCAAGAATTCACGCAGGATCCGGTCATACCTTGTTCTCCTGCCAGTCCACATATGCGAGATCCTCTCGACTTGGTATTCATCTGGATCACGATCTTGGGTCCTGCTGTCCCCAGGTAAGCGTGCTTCGTCGAAATCTAGCCGATCCTGATCCTGCACCGGTAAAATGATGTACCGGCCGATCTGGAAATTCCCTGACATACTTGATCTTCGCCACATGAACACCGGAGAAGATATTGTATGCGGATCCGGCGGACTCGAGCTTTACTGCATACTCACCGATCTTCTCAACCACGCACGCAAAAAACCGTGCCACCGATGCGAGCTGCTTGACATATCCCTCACGTACCCGATCTAGGTATAACCAGACTAGAGATCCAACCTCGACCGGATGAGGCGGTACTGTGTCGTTGTGCTGATTCCCCCGAGCCGAGATCGCTTCCCATAAGCTCTGATTGACCTGCTCTCGCGCCTGCTGGTAGTATCTCTGGATCCGATATCGCTATCTCCGCGGATCCTGATCATGTTTTCTTGTACGTCCCATCGGGATCACCGTCTCCAGGGTGGATCTCAGATCACTGCCATGAACCATGTAGAACGATGTTTCTCCTCGGATCCGATCTCGGGCGGTGTTGATCGCGAAGGTATGTCGCTCGTCCCAACCTCGCCGATCCAGATCTTAAACATACATTTTGAGTGCCCTTGTGGTGGTCTGAACCATCCTTTCCGCGGGTCCGTTCGCATTGGGTCTAAATCCCATCATTGCACGCTGAGGCTGATCCTGGATCTTGTTGAACGCGCGATTGGAATCGGACATAAACTCGGGTTCGCGATCATGGCGGATTAACTCGCTAGCACCGAATCGGAGACACACACATTCATCGTAGGACTCTGCCACAGTCTGATCCATCCTGGATCAGCTAATCTTGACGATCACGTAACCAGAGAAGAGATCCTCGAAGGTCAACAGCCCGGGGTTTCCTTTATAGGATATAGGCAATGAGGGGATGTGATCCATAGCGATGATCTGAAACGGATAAGTCGCTTGAAGATTGCCCGGTGACTCGCCTTGGATCTGCGGTCACCCTTTTCCCGTCTCACACTCTACACATTCACCGACATATATTTGTACGCTGCGATACAATCATCTCCAGTGGAAGTGATCCCGGATCCGACCGTACGTACGACCGATTCCCTGATGTCCGTCTACCTTGAAGGTTGGTATGATAATGGTGTACCCCATCTTAATGCAATGTTTCAGGCAGCACCAGTCGCACCAGTTTGTCCCGATCCGCAGCCGATTCTTTCGTAGTAGGGCAATAGAAAAAGATATCATGCATAGCAATGGGTCCGTACGATCGAGCATCTTCCTGTGTCATATCACGCACTTCGCCAGCCAGGTATTTCTTCAAACCATGGATCCACGCCTCCTCGTCTTGTGCCTGTCGGATACGCTCGATCCTGAGCTCTCTGACCACGTCTTCACACAACACACGGGATTTGAAGCCCGATCTCACGTCGGATCCGGTCCTCGACCCAGTCGTGACAGTTGCGATCTGCACTGCCGGCTCCTCGGATTTCACCACCAATATCCCGTCCAGTCGGTTCAATAGGATCAGATCCTGAATCTCGCTATCGGTTTCGACTTCGATTCCACATTGTCGTTGCAATGCAGCACTAGCCAGGCTATCTGCACTTCCGTTCCAATCCCGCTTCACATGTACCAACTCATGATCCAGCCGGATCCGCAATCTGTCCAACGGCGTTTGTCTTAATAACGTCAATCCAGGCGCCTTGCAGTCAATCTCGCCTCTAATTTGGCGGATCACCAGGTTTGAGTCGCCACAGATCACCAATCGTAACTGATCCACTCCTTCTAGCAAATCAAGACATAACAAAAGGCCGTGGTATTCGGTCTCATTGACAGTTAAACCCTCGGCATAGCCGGATCCGGCCTTCACCACAGTCCACTCAGGTAATTCCCACAGGATCGCACTGTACCTTGCTTGACACGGGCAGATCCGTCGAAGCTAGCGACATACAGATCCTCATCCGATCTCTCTGTCAGAATCGGGGCTTGGATCTTGAGTCTCGGCTCCTCCTTCGGGGCGATCGACATTAGCACATTGTCGACTTCAGATCGGGGGGTGATACTGACGCTAATGTGCCCTGGATCGCATCCTCGCCTTGTTACACTTGACGATCTCGAGAATCCAGGGTGAACGTAGCGCGGCCCACTGTCCCAGGCGACCTTGCAATGCATTGGATCTAAACAACTAATCCAGTGTTGAATGTTGCGTCCGCTGTCGGATCGGCCTCCCAACCAGAGTATTATAGTTGAGATCCAGGATCTGCAACAATAACATCTCCTTTTCTGTGATCCCATAGTTTAACTCGTTGAACTTTACCGTACGGCTCGCGAACATCACTGGATAGTAGATCTGATCACACTCCTGCATCAACGCACCGGAGATCGGCCAATCTCTGGCATATACAACTGGTATAGCCTCCGATCCTGATCAAAGTGACGAAGGATCGGCGTTGCCGCGTTCTTCTCGTTTAACACCTTGAAGGATCTGTGAGCATGAATCCACCGGGGATCTAGATCTGCGAGATTGTCTTTCTCGGTATCCCACACCTTCGCGTCATCAAGCGTAGGATCCCATGGTTTGGATCTCGCTGGTTAGATTCAAGTTCTGGACCACGCGAGTCCGGATCCGAGGGTTGCGAACTTATCGCATCCTCAGTCAGTACCTCCGTATCGGATGTTTCCTACGCCAGCGCCATCTGGATTCGGCTTCGATTCACATTCTTCTCCATCGCAGCATAATCGATCTCCCTCAGTTCATGTAGTACAGACACGTAAATCACATAATCCTAGATGAAACGACTATAATTGTTCAGACTTCCCAGAAAGGATTGCATAGCACGCAAGGATACGGGAAACACAAGATCGGTCAACGCCGACAGATCCTTCGGGTTCGCCTCTAGTCCATCGTGCGATATCTTGTGACCAAGATATTCCACCTTGGGCATGCCCCGGAAACCCTTGACGACGCTGATCACAGGTTCCATTTGTCGCACGCGTCCAGAAGATCTTCAACACGATTACATAGCTGATCCCAATTGATCGCTGGTACGAAGATGCCATCGGTGTAGGATCTGCGTTCTAGTAGTGATGGTTTGCCCGGATCCTCATGTCTCCAGCGTCGAAAACTTCTAGACGTTCCAGATCACTTGTCAGTTTCAGGCTACGGGTGAATCCATATAATGCGTTGTAGATCATCCGCTGGTAGATCTGCGGTGCATTCTTCAGCCCAAAAGGCATCCGATTCCACTCGAAAAGCCCAAATGGGGTGATAAAAGGCCGAGATCAGGGGGGCAGATCCATCATCTTCACCACCTAAAATCCCCTCGCCATATCCAGTGAACAATACAATAGCTCCACTCGAAAAGCCCAAATGGGGTGATAAAAGGCCGAGATCAGGGGGACAGATCCATCATCTTCACCACCCAAAATCCCCTCGCCATATCCAGTGAACAATACAATAGTATAGACCCCAGAACCTTCCGTAGATCGTTGATTAGAGGCATCGGGTAAACCATCAGCTGTGTCAGACTGTTAACCAACCGATAATCAATACACAATCGTATATCCACAATGTTTTACTTGATGATCACGACGATCGGCGATGCCCATGAAGATCTTGAGTGGTTGATCATCTTTGCAGACAGGCGACCCTTGATCAGTTCTGCCAACTTCTCTCGGAACTGAATCCGCAGCTTACGGCATATAAGCGCGATCGGTCCAGCTCCTTTCACATCAATATCACACACAACCCCTCGATCTGCTGGCGGGGTGCATTTCTCTTGCCGATCAGGAATGTTGAAACTTCCAGAACCGCTGACAGAATCGGTCGATTTCTACCGGCGTCTGATTATCTGATCTGCACAATTGGATGTCCTCGATCCTCACATCTTCCGTCGTTACCGGACCTTCGGGTAGTACCGCAAGTTGTCCATTGACATCTTCGGCGTAGAGATCACAGCCTTCGTGATAATACATACATTCGTCGAAATCCCTATCCGAGCTCCAAGTGAGGTCCAGATCCGATGTTTCAGGTTGATTTTCAGGAACTGCTGCCCAGTCTTCGTGCTTTTTCTGCGACATAGACGCGGTGTCCTTCTGGTTTAACCGATCACGTAACTTATGACTCGTCCCAGATTCTACACCCATCAATGATGATGGGTTTGACTCATCATCCTTTAACGTCACCTTCGGATCTTGGACTTCTTGAGAAGGCGGACCTTGATCTACACTGGTTGCACCACTTAGATATTTATCTTGCCAATACCGTTTCCCAACTGGAGCCGGATCTGCCGTTAGAGTATGCCCGGATCCCGATCGTCCAACGCCCCCACGACCATTGTGACATGTGACATAGAGTCGTCATGTGCGATAGACGATAGATTCGACTCATAACTTGCGACAGACACAGAATCCAACGGTCGACAATCAGGCGGCAGACTTTCCGACGGTGGATTGTCCGAAGACGAGTGGTCAAAGACCTCTTGATCTCCACTTGATTCGCCGTTCAGACACTTGATCGCCGTCGGTCTTGGCCGTTGTAGTTTTTCACGCACAATTCCATACTCGGGGCGCTCCACCGCAGGCACAGCCGGATCTGGATCCGCAGATCGGGGATCCATGGCCGCTTCAAGAGCCAGAATCTGCCATTCCATATACCCCGGGACCCCACTGAGATGAAGCCCGGCAGTCGCGGGACATGATCGCCGGCCAGCCAGATCCCGATCCGCAGGTCCTGATGGAGGTTCAGCACCTTGTCGCTGACGTTCGTGGTCCTCATGTATCAGATATTCCCTGAACCGTTTATTATCGTGGGGACCCGACGATCTCACGGGTGACCCCTAGTTTCTCATGGTCCGAGGCCCTCAGGCGTGATGGGAGCTCCACTGATTCCTCCGGCTGGATTCTCAGGTATTACCCGAGATTCACGATCCTGGCCTTGTCGCTGTATAGCTGTCGCCTTCCGCTAAGCTGGATCCGGACTTCGTTGGGCAAACTCATTGATCCATGAGCTAGATCCAGGCGGATCCCGTCTGGGACCATGAAGTCTATACCAAGTATAGCTTGTTGGCCAGTCAGATCACCAACCCAGATATCGAAGAAATATACCAACGATCCTACGAGAGCTACCTTGATCAGTGTTCTTCCTTCTGTCCGGTACACATTGTCACCAATTCCCACCCAATCCTGGATCTGACTCGAGTCGATATAGCACCCAACCTTACGGGCAAAGGCGATGTCCACGATGGATACCTCGGCATCGGTATCTAAGAGTGGATCTTGCCTGTGATCTTCGCTTGACGAAACCATTTACCAGGAGAGTGATGTTTCCAATAACCACGGGACTCTCCCGGTAGTAGATCCATGGTTGTTGACTGTCCGTACTCCAAGTTATTGCTGGGTCTCTTGGTCTCCGAGGTAACCTCACGATAGGTGGATTTAAACCATAGATCTGGATCTTGCTGTCCCCAATAACCTCGTGACTCTCCTAGTTGGAAATCCACACTCATGGTGACTTCAGATCTGGCATACTCGTCGACTTGGCGAAGAGTTGAAATTGCGAAGGTGTGTTTCCCATGCAGATAACATGTATTACCGTGTAGTTGTGGTCGTTTTCTAACCTGATCTACCGAAGTCTTATGTATAAATGGATATATGCAGTATCTAGAACGCTCGGCTCGTATCGGATTCCACCCCGTTCCTAGTTGGAAATCCACACTCATGGTGACTTCAGATCTGGCATACTTGTCGACTTGGCGAAGAGTTGAAATTGCGAAGGTGTGTTTTCCATGCAGATAACATGTATTACCGTGTAGTTGTGGTCGTTTTCTAACCTGATCTACCGAAGTCTTATGTATAAATGGATATATGCAGTATCTAGAACGCTCGGCTCGTATCGGATTCCACCCCGACGAGCGTCCTAGTTTAACATCTTCTCGACAGCTTCCGGCACCTTCCCATGTGTTTGGTCGGATTGAACCATTGGCGGATCGGGTTATAAACTCCTTCATCGGGCATTTCCCTATGTCATCGAGCTCGCCACATCCGCGACAAACAAAAAGACAATGTCCGCCGGATGACCTTTCTTGCCACACTAGGTACAAGTTACGCGTCTCCAGCATCCAAGATTCGAGTGCTTCTTGGGTATGCAATGCGAGCATCGGTTACGGTTTAATCCGTAACCCTGGATTTTGAATCGGTGCTCCTGGTGGATATGGTTCATGGATCCTGGATCCTGATGCCCCGGATCCGGTATGGTCGTCTCCCTTTCCTACTTCGGAGCGACTTCTTGATTCGCTGCGAGATAGATCTGGCGGTGATTGTCAATTTCAGAGTCAGATCCGTCCAATCCGTGGGAGATATCAGATCCGAAGTCAGCAGCTTGGGTCTGGATCGCTCGCACTTGTTTGGCAGGATCCGACGATACACCATTTGACGCGTTCTGTCGGTACTTGTGGTATCAAACGCAGCCTTCCTCGAACGGCGTTTGGCTCGATCCCGCCCGCGAAGAACTTCTTCCAGATCCTCCGCATCCGCTAGTCGTAGTAACGATCCGCACAGATCCGGATCCTCAAGTGTTTCGATGAAGTGATTCACATTTTCACGCCGATCATTCGTAGTTCCGTCCTTGATGTTGAGTTATGCACGCAGTCCGGCAACATTTAGCCGATACAGACAATCCAGCGGCGATTCATCGGATCTGCGACGCGTGGTAATATTGCCTCGACACTGATACCCCAAGTCAGCAATACTAGATCTGGAAGTTGCGGAGCAGATCGCTCCATTTATTACGCGTGGATCGACTTAATTGACGGTACCAGTTCTTCGCGGATCCCGCAATAAAAGCAGCAAATGTCAAGCATTTCTCTGCGTCCGATGCTTGATCCTGCATGAAAGCCGACTTGACCTTGCTGATCCAAGCTCGTGCTAGACCCTCATCCGGATCCTTTCCCGAGAACCCCTTCGGTCGCCGGGATCCGGATTCGTTGGATCATGGTGGATCCAGATGCAGCAGTGTCTACAGCCGCTTGGGCAGGTGTCGAGAAGTCGATGTTGTCCGGATAATATTCCCAATTGGATCCGCGATCCAATGGGCGGATCGACCCCATCTCAAAATCCCTTGATCCGGTATTCTGAAGTTCCGCAACGATTGGACCCGCACCTGCGGCTTGTTGCTCAGCTAGGAACCGATCCATCGCGGTGTTGAAGAAACTTTTGCAGCGTTCAGCAGACCGATCTGAGCTCAAAGTGATTGTGGCTTGGTCAGCCGGTGTTGATCCTTTAGGCTGACTGCCAGATCTGGTTGGGCTTGGACGCCGGATCCTGGATCTCTCCTCCATCATTGATGCGTCTGAAGGTCCCAGCGACATGCACCGGGGCTCCGATGAGGTGTCAGATCCGTCTTCGGCAGCAGATGCATAGTGTGATGACACCGTCAGGTTATCCACTGCGTCCACCTGGGATGATGATACCGTATCCGCGAGCTGGGGAACTTCGCTAACCAGGATCTTCAGCTTTTCAATAAGGTCTCAGCTTGGGGCTTGTATCACGGTCATGTCGTATCGGAATACGTCCAAAATATAGGTACACCTCCCTCCA